TGCCGAAAATGCGCGCAGTGGTTCTCCATTTTCATACGAGTCCTGTACAGACAAACTTCGACAAATGTTGACAGAATGTTAACAGGAATATAGAGGAGGATCTACTCTTTCAGAAAACATATAACTTTATTAGGTTGGGTCCTTGATCTTTTGTACAACGGTTGATAAATCCGGGGTATCAAAAATCGGCGGAAACTTTTCGGACAACCCAATAGTATGCCTCGCAGCCAGTACACACTCTATGTGAAAAAAAAACTGAGCAGATAAAACACCTCTTTGAACAATGGCCTTTTCGAAATCGATTACACATTTATTCCAATATTTTCAAATGATCAAAAGAGTATGCATTTACATTAATTGCATGCCCAACCCCAAAGCCATCGATATAACAAAGCACTCTCCATTGTTATACATCGATGCACAGCAATGGCAGACAGAATATGTCAGTTGTTGCATGACAGCATAAACTTCATAGCAGCCGATGGTGATCAAATATTCAATAATAGAGGGCAAGCGAAGTCTCGGTAGCATAAGGGATAGAGCACGGTGCCCGGAAAGCGCAGGTACGGGTACGATCCCCGTCCGAGACTGAAGTTTTGTCATAAATCGCCAACCTTGTGAGACTTTCGGAACGTACTGTGGCGAAATAACAGCATTAACAAGTCATCAAGTCAAAACAAAGAAACCAAATATTCCGACGACCAGACCAAAGAAAGGAAAAATTCTACGAATTATTTGCTACTGCCTTTCCCTACTGCCCGAGCCTTCCATCCCTCTGGAACTTAATTGGTCCCGATTCGTTCAGGATAAAAGCACTGATTTGTACGTCAGCGGGCCACCGCAAGTCATGTATAGACTAATAAACATTCCAAGCGCCATTGCGATTCTGAATGGAAATCGAATGCATGGCGCATCCCTCATACGGGATTGGTGACACCCCCATTCCTTGTCCTTTGTTTACTACTTTTTACTGTTCACTACTGTTTACTACGTCTGATTTCAACTATCACTTTAACAAGCTGAATCGATAGAAAGTTGAAAAAGGTCTTAAAACGTATTTGTAAATAAGATAACCGATGAATTCAACATTGAAATTCAACGCCCCTACTTAGCACATCAAGCCGNCAACAAAGAGCTGCATTTACAGCTTCGAGGCCCAAATGGTTTCGATGAAT